AGCTCACTGCAGGGACACTTTTGCCGGCTGATCGGGAAATATTCGATTCGCGCACCCGAAGTAGGCAAAATTTCGGATTCGACGCGAATCGAATATTTCCTGAAATTCGACTCGAATTCCGGTTCACCTGGTTCGATTCGCTCATCTCTAGTGACAACAGTTGGTGCAATCATTCACAAATGGAAGAAACACAAAACAAGTGTCAGTCTCCCTAGGTCTGGTGCACCATGCAAGATCTCACCTCGTGGAGTGTCAATGATCATGAGAACAGTGAGGAATCATCCCAGAACTACACGTGAGGATCTTGTCAATGATCTCCAGGCAGCTGGGACCACAGTCACCAAGAAAACAATTGGTAACACACTACGCCGACAAGGACTGAAATCCTGCAGTGCCCGCAAGGTCCCTCTGCTCAAGAAAGCACATGTCCAGGCCCGTCTGAAGTCTGCCACTGAACATCTGAATGATGCAGAGAAGGACTGGTTGGAAGTGTTGTGGTCAGATGAGACCAAAATCCAGCTCTTTGGCATCAACTCAACTCGCCGTGTTTGGAGGAGGAGGAATGCTGCCCATGACCCCAAGAACACCATCCCAACTGTGAAACATGGTGGTGGAAAACATTCTGCTTTGGGGGTGTTTTTCTGCTAAGGGGACAGGACAACTGCACCGCATCAAGGGACGATGGATGGGGCAATGTACCATCAAATCTTGGATGAGAACCTTCTTCCCTCAGCCAGGGCATTGAAAATGGGTGGTGGATGGGTGTTCCAGCATGACAATGACCCAAAACACACGGCCAAGGCAACAAAGGAGCGGCTCAAGAAGAAGCACATTAAGGTCCTGGAGTGGCCTAGCCAGTCTCCAGACCTTATCCGAATGAAAATCTGTGGAGGAGCTGAAAGTTCGAGTTGCCAAACATCAGCCACCAAACCGTAATGACTTGGAGAGGATCTGCCAAGAGGAGTGGGCCAAAATCCCTCCTGAGATGTGTGCGAACCTGGGGGCCAACTCCAGGAAACGTCTGACCTCTGTGATTGGCCAACAAGGGATTAGCCACCAAGTACTAAGTCATGTTTTGTGAAGGGGATCAAATCCTTCTTTCCCTCATGAACATGCAGATCAGTCATCATTTGTTAGACGCATTTCTGCTGAATTTGTTGTTGTATTCTGTCTTGCCATCCCGTACTGACCAATAGGAGCGGCCGGAGCCGAGGCGTTTCTTTTTTTTTTTTCAGATTCATTCATTCAGTGAATCATTTCCCTCGTCATATTCCTCATGTTAGATTGATTCGTTTTCAGAATTGGTTTCTTATATTCGGATTCATTTCCTATATTCATTATTTTCCAATCGATTTGAAATTCAAATGTTGGAAGACGGCTATATTCGTTCTATATTATTGTATTCAAATCTATTCTATTCTAGTTTTTTACATTTTCTATCCTCTTCTATTCTGTTTTATTATATTCTGCACTGTTTTGTTTTATTCTATTATGTTATGTTCTAGTTAGTATATTCTCTTCTATTGTTTTATTTTCTACTCTGTTTTATTCTATTCTGTTATTCTTTTCTATTCTATCCTGTTATTTTCTGCACCATTCTTTTCTGTTTTATTCTATTCTATTCTGTTTGTTTCTATTGTATGCTATTTGTTTTATTTTATCTCCTCTTATATTCTTTTCTATTCTCTTTTATTCCATTCTATTCCATTTTATTCATTTCTAATCTATTCCTTTATTTTCTGCTCTATTCTTTTATTTTCTATCCTCTTCTATTCCTTTCTATTCTGTTTTATTCTATTCCAGTCTGTTTTATCCTACTCTATTTTATTTTTTTCTATTTTATTATACTCTACTATATTCCTTTATTTTCTATTCTTTCTTATTGTATTCCTTTCTATTCTATTTTTTATGGTCTATTCTATTCTGTTTTATTCTATTCTTTTTTTTTCTATTCTTACTGTCTATTTTCTGTGTCCTCTTGTACCAAATTGTATTGTAACTGTAATGTCTACCTTCATTTTATAAAGCACTGAGAAAACTGTTGGCACTTTATAAATCATATAATAATAATATCCTCCCCTTCTATCCTTTTCTGTTTTGTTTTATTCTCTTTTTTATTATTTTCTATTCTTTTACTTTCTATTTTTTTTTTTTCTGTGTTATTCTACTCTATAATATTCTTTTAATTTTTATTCTATTCTGTTATTCTTTTCTATTATATTCCTCTATTTTCTTCTTTATTCTATTCATTTTTATCGGTTTTATTTTACTCTATTGTATTCCTTTACATTCTATTATATTCTTTTATTTTCTATCCTTTTCTATTCTGTTTTATTCTATTCTTTTCTGTGTAATTGTACTATTATTTTCTATGATATTCCATTATTTTCTAATCTGTTCTATGGAATTCTTTTCTGTTCTATTCTATTTATTTTCTATTCTATTCTGTTTGATCATCTAATACAAAGCAGCCTAAGCAGGAGTCACTTGTTATAACTGGCTGTATTTATTGCAGTATGTTTCCATTTAGGATTTGGATCCTTCATTTTGTACTCGTGTTGTATTTGGGATTAGCTGGGATCTGTCAGTGTTGTGATTCTGGAATTTGGATACATCCGAGTCTCTGCAGGAAACAGAGCCACGGCGCTGTCACCCCCCCCCCCCCCCCCCAATGACACGGGAAGGATCTCTCACTAGGGGGTCACGGGAAGGATCTCTCACTAGGGGGTCACGGGAAGGATCTCTCACTACGGGGTCACGGGAAGGATCTCTCACTACGGGGTCACGGGAAGGATCTCTCACTGCGGGGGTCAAGGGAAGGATCTCTCACTGCGGGGTCACGGGAAGGATCTCTCACTACGGGGTCACGGGAAGGATCTCTCACTACGGGGTCACGGGAAGGATCTCTCACTACGGGGTCACGGGAAGGATCTCTCACTACGGGGGTCACGGGAAGGATCTCTCACTACGGGGTCAAGGGAAGGATCTCTCACTACGGGGTCAAGGGAAAGGATCTCTCACTACGGGGGTCACGGGAAGGATCTCTCACTACGGGGGTCACGGGAAGGATCTCTCACTACGGGGGTCACGGGAAGGATCTCTCACTACGGGGGTCACGGGAAGGATCTCTCACTACGGGGTGACGGGGGAAGGATCTCTCAATACGGGGGACACGGGAAGGATCTCTCACTACGTAGGTCACGGGAAGGATCTCTCACTACGGGGGACACGGGAAGGATCTCTCACTACGGGGGACACGGGATCTCTCACTGCGGGGTCACGGGAAGGATCTCTCACTGCGGGGTCACGGGAAGGATCTCTCACTATGGGGTCACGGGAAGGATCTCTCACTATGGGGTCACGGGAAGGATCTCTCACTATGGGGTCACGGGAAGGATCTCTCACTAGGGGGTCACGGGAAGGATCTCTCACTATGGGGTCACGGGAAGGATCTCTCACTGCGGGGTCACGGGAAAGGATCTCTCACTATGGGGTCACGGGAAGGATCTCTCACTATGGGGTCACGGGAAGGATCTCTCACTAGGGGGTCATGGGAAGGATCTCTCACTACGGGGGAAACGGGAAGGATCTCTCACTACGGGGGAAACGGGGAGGATCTCTATGGGGGTCACGGGAAGGATCTCTCACTACGGGGTCACGGGGAGGATCTCTATGGGGGTCACGGGAAGGATCTCTCACTACGGGGTCACGGGAAGGATCTCTCACTATGGGGGTCACAGGGGAATGGTTTATGTTCTCATAGTTGATTTTTGCAGCTGAAGATCCCTGTACACGCGGCGCTGACCTGTGGGGGATCAGCACAGAATGAACCTGCAGCATGCGACCTACAATGTAGGGGAGGGGGAGTGGCTCCAGAACAGGGGCGGGGACCAGGGGCGGACTGACCATTTGGAAACTCGGGCACTGCCCAAGAGCCCGGGGTCCGGGGTCAGTAGGGGGCCCCATGAGATGCCCCTGGTACCTTTTTCATAGGCTTTTTTGAGTTTGGGCAAGGACACAGGGGCCCCATGATCCCCTATTGCCTGGGGGCCCCATGAGTTGTCAGTCCGCCGCTGGGCGGGACCAAGTTGTTGGCCAAGCGTTGGTCGGATGATGCGCAGCGCTAGCCGTGGGCGGGGAGGGGTGGGCAGAACACTGAGGGGGAGTGGCTAGCAGCGAACTCAAAGCAACGCAGAGTGTGGGCGGGGAGAAGACGGTAGATGAGTAGCAGGGGGCGAGGCTACCGAGGACTGGTGGGCAGACACTGAGGGGGAGTGGCTGGCAAGAGGACTAGAAGCTACGTAGCCTGTGGGCAGGGAGAAGCCAGTAGATCAGAAGCAGTGGGCGAGGCTACCGCGGACTGGTGGGCGGGGAAGAACCGGTAAAAAACACTGAGGGGGAGTGGCTAGCAGCGGTCTAGAAGTAACGTAGTCTGTGGGGGCGGGAGAAGACGGTAGATCAGTAGTAGGGGGCGAGGCTACCGCGGACAGGTGGGCGGGGAGGGGTGGGCAGAACACTGAGTGGGAGTGGCTAGCAGTGGACTAGAGGGAACGCAGATTGTGGGCGGGGAGAATAAGGTAGATCAGTAGTAGGGGGCGAGGCTACCGCGTACAGGCGGGCGGGGAGGGGTGGGTAGTCACTGAGTGGGAGTGGCTAGCAGTGGACTAGAAGGAACGCAGACTGTGGGCGGGGAGAAGACAATAGATCAGTAGCAGGGGGCGAGGCTACCACGGACAGGCGGGCGGGGAGGGGTGGGCAGAACACTTAGTCGGCCCACTGCTGACTAAGAAGGCGAACGAACTGTGGGCGTGGAGTGGGCGGTAGAAGAATGTCAGGAGGCGTGGCTAGAACTGGTAATCGGGGAGGAGGCGGTACTAGCGGCGGTGGGCGGGCAGAACAGTGGCGGTGGGGAGTGGCCAGCAGGGCGATAGAGTTGTGGACGGGGAGGAGCGCGGTGACGTGTTGCGGCCCTCGGAAGGCTCAGGCTCCTCCCTCCCATCATGGCGGCCTCCATGGCTGACATGTTCTGGCGGTGTGCGGTACCGGAGGCGGCCAAGCGGACGGTGGAGATCCGACACATCGGTGGCGGCAAGGTAGGTTCGGGGGATGGGTTCCCTGCATCCGGGGATGTGGTGTGAGCCCCGTGTACCCTCCAATGGCCTTCTATGTAGGAGGGATCCAGAGGGTGAAATAGGATACTGTCTGTGTGCCCCTCTGACCAATCAGGGGGATGGATCTGGGGGTGTAAGGGTTAATGTTCCCAGCACGGCTCCTGCATTCAGAGAATCCCAAGGCGGCTCGGCCTGATTGGCTCCCTCCAGGCTGGTGGCAGATTCTGCGTCAGGGAGAGCGGATTGCCTGTTTGATGAAGGTGATGGATGACGGCCCGATCACCCCGACCTGGTCCTCCGACGCACATTAACCGCCTTCGTGTCAACGGGCGTCCCAGCAGGCCGTTCATTTTCATTGGCTGCCCAAGGCATCGGGAAGGCACGTTAAAGGGTTCAACGAAGGAGGGCATTCACAACCGTTCCCTCCGCAATGATCAACGCAGGCCCGGCGCAACAACAAGAGGAGATCCAGTGTGTCCTATGGGTCCAGCTCTCGCCATTGATGGCCGTATTAGGTCCATGATGTCACAAGCATCCCCCCGCCCCTTTGTAATGTGGGAGTCTCCCACTCGCAGGTCATTGGACCAGGAATGACACCTGACGTCCAGGTTCAGGCCCAAACCCAGCTCCGAACAAGCCTAAGCTCATCTCTAGTAGTCAGCCATATTGGAGGTAAAGTCAAAGAATGGCGCACCCAACGATCATCTCATAGGTCCATATCGATAGCACTGTGTCTACATGGAGAATGAAGGTAGTCAACGTGTTTCGGGGCCAAGGGCTCTTCATCAGGGTGGAGGCTTCATGTCAGATTTTTGTAAATGGCCTCCAAGGAATGTCCTAAAGGGCAATCTGGTCATACTTGTGATGGAGATCCCAGTTCCAGAATTATGGACTTTTGGGATGATTGGTGCTCCCTTTTGTGGACATCTTTATTCTGGTGGCTCCTACTCTGTAGGGAACCCCCAGCTCTGTGTCCTTGAGCAGCCATAGTCCTCCAGTTCCCCTACTATCTTCTGGTAGTAAGATCCGAGTCCATGACGTTGATCCAGTAGATCTGTTTCTCTATATTGGATTAATGCTTTTATGAGCATCTCCACCTCTTTTTGTAATGTGATCTCCGGGATAGGCAATCGCCCACCCAAAGGTGGCTTTTGGGCTTGGACATGGACCCAGTTCCTAAGAAACATAAGTTCGTCTTTAGTAGTCAGCCATATTGGAGGTAAGTGTGAAATCAGAGAATCAAGCGCCCAATGATCATCTCAAAAGTCCATAATTCTTTGATGGCACTGGGACAACAGGAAGAACAGTGGTAGCCAACCTGTTTCTGGGATAAGGGCCCTTCAAGCTTAGGCTTCATATCTGATTTTCTTAAATGGCCTCTGAGGATCGTCCTAAAAGGCAATCTGTCTTACTTGTGATGGAGATACCAGTTCCAGAATTGTGGACTTTTGGGATGATTGTTTGTTTGGCGCTCTCTTTGTGGACATCTCTATTCTGGTGGCTCCTACTCTGTGGGGAACCTCTGGCTTGGTGTGCTTGAGCAGCCGTAGTCCTCCAGTTCCCCTACTGTCTTCTGGTAGTTGGTAGTAAGATCCAAGTCCATGATCTTGATCCAGTATAGCTGTGTTTCTATATTGGATTAATGCTTTTATGGACACCTCCACCTTTTTTTTGTAATGTGATCTCTGGGATAGGCATTCTCTCACCCATAGGTGGCTTTTGGGCTTGGACACGGATCCAGTTCCACACAAACAAAAGCTCATCTCTAGTAGTAAGCCATATTGGAGGGAAGTGTAAAATTTAAGAATAGAGCATCCAGCGATCATCTCAAAAGGCCATCATTCTTTCTTGATGGCCCTGAGACGACAGAACAACAGTAACCAACATGATTCAGGGCTAAAGACCCTTCATCAGGGCTTAGGCTTCTTAAATGGCCTCTGAGGAATGTCCTAAAGGGCAATCTGTCTTGGTTGTAATGGAGATCCCAGTTCCAGAATTGTGGACATTTGGGATGATTGGTGCTCCATTCTATGGGTTTTTTTTGTAGATGTCTTTATTCTGGTTGATGCTACTCTGTGGAATATGCCTGGCTGTGTGCCTAAGCAGGCAAAATCATCCTCTTCCCCTACTATCTTCTGTTAGTTGGTAGTAAGATCCAAGTCCATGATATTGACCCAGTATGACGGTGTTTCCATATTGGATTAATGCTTTCACAAGCATCTGCTGCGTCCCTTTGTAATGTAAGCTCTGGGGTGGGCAGTCTCCCTCCCACAGCTGTCCTTGGGGCTTGGACCCGAACCCAGTTCAACAAATGCAAGCTCATCTCTAGTAGTCAGCCATATTGGAGGTAAGTGTAAAATCAAAGAATTTGGCGCCCAACGATCATCTCAAAATTCCATAATTCTTTATGGATAGCACCGTGACAACAGAACAAGGGTAGCCAACACATTTCAGAGCCCAAGTCCTCTCCCTTCATCGGGGCCTAGGCTTAATATCAGATTTTCTTAAATGGCCTCTGAAGATCCTCCTAAAGGGCAATCTTTTCCACTCAACCGGTATTGGAAATCCCAGATCTGGATTTTGTGGACGTTTGGAATGATTGTCTGGTGTTCCATTCTTTTGATTTTAGGTGGACCTCCCTGGTGGCTCTTACTCTATGGAGTACCTTTTTGGTTTTGTGTGCTCGAGCAGCTGAAATGATCCAGTTCTACTGCTTTCTGGTTGGCTGGAGTAAGATCCTTTTTGATGACATTGACAAAATGTGGCCATGGGACTGTATTCACATGGTAGCCAACACATTACAGAGACCAAGTCCTCTCCCTTCATTGGGGCCTAGGCTTAATATCAGATTTTCTTAAATGGCCTCTGAGGAACCTCCTAAAGGGCAATCTTTTTCAATCAACCGATAATGGAAATCCCAGATCTGGAATTGTGGACGTTTGGAATGATTGTCTGGTGTTCCATTCTTTTGATTTTAGGTGGACCTCCCTGGTGGCTCTTTACTCTATGGAGTACCTGTTTGGCTTTGTGTGTTTGAGCAGCTGAAATTATCCAGTTCTACTGCCTTCTGGTTGGCAGGAGTAAGGTCCTAGTTGATGACATTGACATAACGTGGCCATGTGACTGTATCCGGTCGATCATGTTGTAAGCCTTTTGTAATGTCAGCTGTGAGGTGGGGGGGGATCGCCCAGCCTCAGCTCACTGAACCAAGAATGATAGCTGACTTCTGGGATTGAACCTGAACCCAGTTCCAAACAAATGCAAGCTCATCTCTAGTAGTTGGTCTTATTAGAGGCAAATAACATTCAAGAATAGAATACCCAACAATCATCTGGAATGTCCATAATTCCTGACCCTAATACCAGGAAGAACAGCAGTAGCCAGCCTGTTTCAGGGGCCAAGAGATCCCCCTCCATCAGGGATTGGTCTCCATCAGTTTTTCTTTTTCTGAATGGGTTTTATAAAAACTCCTGAAGAGTAATCCATTTCACTTTACTGGTAATGAAGATCCTAGTACTGGGATTATGGTCTTTTGTGTTCTATCCTTTGATTTCACACGGACCTCTCAATTTGGGTCACCCTTTTCTGTGGGGTGTGCCCCACTTTGTGTAGTAGAGCAACTGAAGTCATCTAGCTCTTAAGGTTGTCCAGTAAGATTCGAGTTAGACATTGACCCCCATAATGGGTGCCAAGTTGACTCCAATATGGCTATATTAGGTCAACTAGTTCAGTCATCCCCACCCATTTTGTAAAAAAAAATGGCTGTTGGGTTGGGGGAATCCTCCACCCACAACTCATTGGGTCACAAAGGACAGCTGATTTCTGAGTTCAGACCCAAACCCAATTCCAAACAAATGCTAACTCATCCCTAGTAGTCAGCCATATTGGAAGTGTATAATCCAACCATAGAACGTCAAATGGCAATCTCAAAGGTCCACAGTCCATGTAGAACCTCCTGAAGGCTGGTCTGTCTCACTCGGAGTTGAGATTCTGGTACCAGAATTATGGACTTTCAGGTGATTGACAGTGTATTCTGTGATTTTACATGACTGTCTCAATTCAGGTGGCCCCTACTGCTTGGGGTACCCTTGCTTTATGTGCTCCATCAGCCAAGGTCATCCAGCTCCACTACCGTCTTTTGGTTGACAAGACTAAGATCCGAGTCGATGACGCTGACCCAGTATGGCCATGTGGCTGTATCAGGTCAACGATTTTGCAAGCATCCCTGCCCTATTATAAGTTTTCAGCAGGGTGGGGAGTCGCCCACAGGCAGCTTATTGGACCTGGCATGACACCTGACTTTAGGAACCTGACTTGAAGTTGGTTACATACCAAACGATGGCTCATCCCCCAGTAGTTGAGTGCCAAGCAATCATCAAAAGTCCTTAACCCCTCGCCTACCGGCACTTCTACCCCCTTCCTGTCCAGGACAATTTTCAGCTTTCAGCACTGTCGCACTTTGACAATTGTGCGGTCATGCAACACTGTACCCATATGAAATTTTTAGAATTTTTTTCAATACAAATAGAGCTTTCTTTTGGTGGTGTTTAATCGCGCTGGGTGTTTATTTTTTTTGCTATAAAAGAGCAAAAAATTTGAAAAAAAAGTTTTTCTTAGTTTCTGTTATAAAATTATACAAATGGATATTTTTTTTTCTTCACTGATGTGTGTTGATGAGGCTGCCCGGATAGGCGTCAGTGTTGGGCACGTGTGGGCACGGGTGGGCATCAGTGATAGGCAGGACTGCTGAGGTGTCATGGATAGGCAACACTGCTGGGCTCATGTGGGTGGCACTATTGGGCATTGATCATCAATATCCTGATGATCAGAGCCAATCACTTCTCTGACAATGGCTGGTTCTCGGTAGTACTTTCCTCACGCTGTGACAGTGTGAGGAAAGTTCAGCCGATAACTGGCAACTGAATTTACCCGGTGATCTGCTGTGTCATTGGACACAGCTAATCACGTGGTAAAAGGCCACCGTGATTGGCCGTTTACCGTATCACGTGATCAGCTATGTCCATAGCAAACGGCGATCACTGGGGGCGCACAGGGGGCATATTCTGGAATGACGTCCATGGACGTGGTCCCAGAACCAGACATCAGCTCTGTAGTCATCTTTTGGCTGTAGCACAGCAGGGAAGAGGTTAATGCTTTATTGTTCATAGTAATGTGTAGAGGCGTACACCGTGCCGAGGTCCTTCATTGAGAACTACACGCCGATAGCCGCTAAGGCTGTCAAGACTTGTAGTTCATTTATTCACAGAACACGTATCCCGTGATCAGCTGTGTCCGTAGGACATGGTAATCACCGGCGGTGCTTGGGGCGCACAGGGAGGCGTGTTCTGGAATGATGTGTCCCAGAACCAGACAACCGCGCCGTAGCCATCTTTCAGCTATAGCGCGGTAGGGAAGAAGTTAATGCTGCTTTTAAAAAGTGACAGTACGGGGAATGTCTTCCTGTACTGCTCTCATAGGGAGGGAGGGGAGCAAAAAACAGCTGCAGGATCGGGAACATGTTACACGTTCCACCCTAAAAATGGGTGGCACATTTAATATGTTCCCAAAGGTGGACTTATTCTAGTCAAGTAAACTAAACTTGCTTTTTAAAATTTTTGTATTTTTTTTTTTTTTATTACAAATGGAATGGCAAGGACTGTACAGTGAGGAACAGAAGTATTTGAACACCCTGCAATTTTGCAAGTTCTCCCACTTAGAAATCATGGAGGGGTCTGACATTCACATTGTAGGTACATTCCCACTCTGAGAGACAAAATTAAAAAAAAAAAAATTCAGGAAATCACATTGTATGATTTGTAAAGAATGTATTTGTCTCGCACTGCTGAACAGAAGTATTTGAACCCCTGAGAAGATCCGTGTTAATATTTGGTACAGAAGCCTTTGTTTGCCATTACAGAGGTCAGACGTTTCCTGTAGTTCCTGACCAGGTTTGCACTGCAACAGGGATTTTTGGCCGACTCCTCCACACAGATCTCCTCTAGATCTGTCAGGTTTCGGGGCTGTCGCTGAGCAACACGGAGTTTCAGCTCCCTCCAATGATGTTCTATTGAATTTAGGTCTGGAGACTGGCTAGGCCACTCCAGAACCTTGATATGCTTCTTACGGGGCCACTCCTTGGTTATCCTGGCTGTGTGCTTCGGGTCGTTGTCATGTTGGAAGACCCATCCACGACCCATCTTCAATGCTCTGACTGAGGGAAGGAGGTTGTTGCTCAAAATCTCACAATAAATGGCCCCTTTCATCCTCTCCTTAATACAGTGCAGTCGTCCTGCCCCTTCGCAGAAAAGCACCCCCAAAACATGATGTTACCACCCCCATGCTTCACAGTAGGGATGGTGTTCTTGGGATGCAACTCATCCTTCTTTTTCCTCCAAACACGACGAGTGAAGTTTAGACCAAAAAGTTCTACTTTGGTCTCATCTGACCACATGACTTTCTCCCATGCCTCCTCTGGATCATCCAGATGGTCATTGGCAAACTTCAGACGGGCCTGGACATGTGATGACTTGAGCAGGGGAACCTTCCGTGCAATGCATGATTTGAAACCATGACGGCGTAGTGTTCTACCGACAGTCACCTTTGAAACTGTGGTCCAAGCTCTCTTCATGTCATTGACCAGCTCCTCCCTTGTAGTTCTGGCCTGATTCCTCACCTTTCTTATCATCAGTGATACCCCACGAGGTGACATCTTGCATGGAGCCCCAGTCCGAGGGAGACTGACAGTCGTCTTTAGCCTCTTCCATTTTCTAACAATTGCTCCAACAGTTGATCTATTTTCACCAAGCTGCTCGGCAATTGCCCCGTAGCCCTTTCCAGCCTTGTGGAGGTCCACAATTTTGTCTCTAGTGTATTTTGACAGCTCTTTGGTCTTGCCCATGGTAGTAGTTGGCATCTGACTGACTGTGGGGTGGACAGGTGTCTTTAAAGAGCTCAGACAGGTGATACTAAGTTAGATTAATGAGTGGAGTAGAGGTGGACTTTTTAAAGGCGCAATAACAGGTCTTTGAGAGCCAGAATTCTTGCTGTTTCTCAGGTGTTCAAATACTTCTGTTCAGCAGTGCGAGACAAATACATTCTTTAAAAATCATACAATGTGATCTCCTGAATAATTTTTTTTTTTGTAATTCTGTCTCTCAGAGTGGGAATGCACCTACAATGAATTTCAGACCCCTCCATGATTTCTAAGTGGGAGAACTTGCAAAATCGCAGGGGGTTCAAATACTTCTGTTCCTCACTGTACATGTGAAGGACATTTCAACTATGCATGAGAACAGGTCACCCCCCCCCCCCCCCCTTTCCCTCGTAATCCTTTAATAGCCTCCTGCCAATATACGTTCCCAGTTATTGGCAATGCTGATCCAGAAGCATATATTGCTGTATGAAGAGCTAGGTGAATGTTCTCCTGAATTTCAGGTGCCCTTTTTCTCTATAAATGAAGGGATTGTGTATTTTTGAGAGGCCGTGGTTTGTAACATTTCCTTCCTCGAAGATGCTGCTGGTGAAGAAACACTTTATGAAGATCCAGAAGCAGCAGAAAGAGTGTTTCTGGAATGAGAACTCTGGAGGGAAAATTTACTTGCACTTTTATTATGTCCTCATTTCATAAAGTTTTTTTTTTTTTTTTTTTATGTCTTTAGGTGCCCTAAAGACATAAAAAATAACTTTTATGAAATGATGAGGACATAATAAAAGTGCAAGTAGCTTTTCCCTCCAGCATGTGTAGAATTTGGAAAAGAATATTTCTTCCCGCATTATTTGCAAATTGAAGCTTTGCTCTTAGCAGTGATTACACCATGGAAATGGTTTTAAACTCTAGATGTTGGTCTCACCATTTTTACCCAGTTTTTTTTTTTTTTTTTTTTTTCCCTCCTCTATTTACTGAGCAGATTTTAGGGAAACATTATGCTGTAATGATGGAGAACATTCAAAAGGATAATTTAAAGGTTACAGAGTTGACCTTATTTTGTCAGAAAAAATTACCCTCTTTCCTGTTGAGGACTGAGAGGACAGAAACGATCTACTGCATCCCAACAATCGCCCAACTGTAGGAGGTACAAGATGGAGCCCACAACCATACTAAACTGGAGCCTTTCTCCTGCTGTGCCTCCGAGTGTCTGAAATGCATATTTCTTTTGCTTGAGAAGTACAGTGTTACTTGAATTGTATTCCAGGACTTTTGTCTTCAGCTGAGAGAACTTGCAATAATTTTAAGACTTTACATAAAGTGTCAGAACTCTTTCATTAGGGTCTTCATGTTGTATAGTTTCTATACCATGTCATAGATACATTATTTATCATTGTAAAAGAACATATTCCACACATTCCCCCTTTTTTTTTTTTTTTTTTTTTTTTTTAATACTTTAACTTTGTCTCTACACAGGGAAAGGGGCTGTTTGCCACTCGCAGTATTCGGAAAGGAGAAACCATCTTCCAGGAGAGGCCTCTGGTGTCTTCCCAGTTTCAGTGGAACGCCCTGTACCGCTACAGAGGTGAGACTGACCTGCAGGATGATGGATACAGCAATTATGGGCAGCACAGTGGCTAAGTGGTTAGCACTTCTGCCTGGCAGTACTAGGGTCGTTGGTTCGAATCCCAACCATGGCACCACCTGCTTGGAGTTTGCATGTTCTCCCTGTGTCTGCGTGGGTTTCCTCTGGGTACTCCGGTTTCCTCCCACACTCCAAAGACATGCTGGTAGGTGAATTGGCTTCTGTCTAAATTGTCCCTAGTATGTGTATGTATGAATGTGAGTTAGGGACCTTAGATTGTACACCCCTTGAGGGTTAGGGACCTTAGATGTTACGCCCCTTGAGGGTTAGGGACTGATGTGAATGTACTTAACCCCTTGAGGGTTAGGGACCTTAATATATATATATATATATAGGGACCTTATATATAGATTGTATTATATATATATATATATTGATATGATATAATATACAATATATATATATATAGAGAGAGAGAGAGAGATGGATAATTATATATCTGTGCGTATGTATGTATGTATGTATGTGTGTGTATTATATATATATATATATATATATATATATATATATATATATATATATATATATATATATATATATATATATATATATATATATATATACACACACACACACACATTTCTGTAAAAAACCAGGCATTGCCCCCCCCCCCCCCAAAAAAAAGTACCCCTCTTGGGTGGAGCTCTGCTTTAAATCAAACTGATATGAACAGGTGCCATTGAAAATCATGGGCTGCGACTTGTCGCATCCAGAGTCGCATGACGAGTCCCACAAGTGTACATGTGTAAAGCAAAGATGTACTCTTCTCAAAAACACTGGGGGTTATTTACTGAAACTGGAGGGTGCAAAATCTGGTGCAGCTCTGCGTAGAAACCAATCAGCTTCCAGGTTTTGTCAAAGCTTAATTGAATAAGCTGAAGTTAGGAGCTGATTGGCCGCCATGCACAGCTGCACCAGATTCTGCGTGCTCCAGTTGTAGTAAATCTCCCCCAGAGTAGTCTGCTCATGCTCAGTGACCATTCTCCCCCTGCTATTGAGCACTGCACAGCCTGGCTGGTCACCCACACACCCCCCCTCGAATCCTTGCTGTTCATCAGTGGTTGTCAATTTGTTCGTTCTATATGGCCACAATGCGATTCCTGAGATCACCAAATACAATATTTTTTATGTCTTGATAAAAATAACTGAAGACTTAGAGGAGGAGATGGCCATAGACTGGCACAGGAGTTGTTGGAGATTGGAGTCAAGCTGTCAGGGACTGGGGACATGTTACATGAAACGTCTACCGATCACAGCTATTATAGACCCATTACACATCCGTAATCCCACTGCTGAGTTCAAGGGCCACACTGCAGTCACCAGAGGGCCACAGGTTGGGCACCAAGGGTGTACATAGTCTGTACCTGGAAGCTGTGTCTAACAGACTCCAGGAATTGTAATTTGAAAGGACAGGTCCTAAATCACATAGGTGTCCACTCTGCCAACACTCCCTCATTCTACTTCTATGTAAATACTATACAGTGTATCTGTAACCTGAGACAGGACCTCTTAGTGTTTCTTTGGTTATTTTGCAGCCTGCGATCACTGCCTGCGGTCTCTGGAGACGGCTGAAGAAAATGCCAAGAGGTTGTCTGGAAATGCTCATGTGAACCTTCCATACCCTGAACTTTGCACCATTCAGAATGGGCTCCACCAGCAATGTCCGGATTGTCAGGTGAGAACGGAGTAGGCGATGGGAACTGCTATGAGCTGTCCTGTAATTGGATCGCACGTCCACTTGTGGGATCCATGGTGAAGGGAGGGATGACGTTTTGTTCCACTACCGTGCCGGCTTTCTTCTACATCTGGCAAATCTGCTCCTCCTTTGTATTCCGGGACACGTAGAGCTCCTGCTGCACTTTCAAGCTGCTCAGATGTAAGAGATGCAGGTCCTGTAGGCAACCCTAGAGCTGTGGTTGTGTCTCCTCACCCCTCTCCTCCTCGTCTTTCGCAAAATGAAGCCCGAGGCAAAGAGGAGAGGGGTGCAGAGACACAGCCACAGCTCTGGGGTCATCTATGAAACCTTCGGTGCCTACATCCAAGCAGCCTGAAGGTACAGCAGGACTTTGATGTCAGCAGTGAAGATCTCCTGAGCGGCTTAAATATACAATGAGAACTTTGCTAGGAAACAAAAAGATTTGCAGGACGAGAACGAGAGACTGCATTGTGGTGGGTTGCTTTTGAGGAAAAGGAAAATATAACGGCTTTAACCAGGATAAGATTTTGTTCTCCCTGGAGTTGGGCTTTTAAAGTAGAGGAGTAGCATAGGTCTGACTAGTTATAACATGACACCCCTCCCCATCCCGCCTAACACATATATGTGTTTTTTTGTTTTTTTTTAATTATTATTTATATAATAACCTCTGCAGCAATGCTGGCAGCACTCACACATCTATTTCCCAAAGACAACCTCTGGATATGACGCTGAGCACTGCAATCAACTTCTTTGGTGGACCATGGTGAGGTCTGTTCTGAGTGGAACCTGTCCTGTTACACCGCTGTATGGTCTTGGCCACCGTGCTGCAGCTCAGTTTCAGGGTCTTGGCAATCTTCCTATAGCCTCGGCCATCTTTATGTAGAGCAACAATTCTTTTTTTCAGATCCTCAGAGAGTTCTTTGCCATGAGGTGCCATGTTGAACTTCCAGTGACCAGTATGAGAGAGTGACAGTGATAACACCAAATGTAACCCACCCTCTCCCCATTCACACCTGAGACCTTGTAACACTAACGAGTCACATGACACCGGGGAGGGAAAATGGCTAACTGGGCCCAATTTGGACCTTGTCACTTAGGGGTGGAGTCACTTTTGTTGCCAACGGTTTAGACATTAATGGCGGTGTGTTGAGGTATTTTGAGGGGGCAGCAAATTTACATGTTATACAAGCTGTACACTGACTACGTCACATTGTAGCAAAGTGTCATTTCTTCAGTGTTGTCACATGAAAAGAGAATACAATATTTACAGAAATGTGAGGGGGGACTCGCTTGACTGCATACAGAAATGCTTCCACCAAAAACCCTGGATGTCTTCCCTGTGCTCTTCCTGAATGTAATTCAGTGCAGATACATTGTTTACTGGCCTTAATGGCCTGGGACACTGTCAGTTGGGACATGGATGTGAGGTCATACACATCGCTTCCAGGTCAGGAACAAGAAGGGTATGCGCTTCTCCCGTCCCTCTAACTGGCGGTGCCCACTATGCCGGTCCCGGGCCCGCAAATGTGCAAGTGGAACCCGGGATATACAGGTGAAACTCTAAAAATTAGAATATGGCGCATTCATTCATTTATTTCAGTGCAGCAACTTAAAAGGTGAAACTAATATATGAGACTCATTACATGCAAAGCAAGGTAGTTCAAGCCGGGATTTGTCATCATTGTGATGATTATGGCTTACAGCTCATGAAAACCCCAAATCCACAATCTCAGAAAATGAGAATATTCCATGCAATCAATAAAACACGGATTGTACATAGAACAATATCGCACCTCTGAAAAGTAGAAGCATGCATATGTACTCAGTACTTGGTTTGGGCCCCTTTTGCAGCAATTACTGCCTCAATGCGGCGTGGCATGGAAGCTATCAGCCTGTGGCACTGCTGAGGTGTTATGGAAGACCAGGATGCTTCAATAGCGGCATTCAGCTCTTCTGCATTGTTCGCTCTTATGTCTCTCATCTTTCTCTTTGGCAATGCCCCATAGATTCTCTATGGGGTTCAGGTCAGGCGAGTTTGCTGGCCAATCAAGCACAGTAATCCCACGGTCATTGAACCAGGTTTTGGTGCTTTTGGCAGTGTGGGCGGTGCCAAGTCCTGCTGGAAAATGAAGTCAGCGTCCCCATGAATCTCGTCTGCGGAAGGAAGCCTGAAGTGCTCCAAAATCTCCTGGTAGACGGCTGCGGTGACCCTGGACTTAATGAATCACAGTGGACCAACACCAGCAGATGACATGGCTCCCCAAATCAACACAGACTGTGGAAACTTCACACTGGACTTCAAGCATCTTGCAGTGTGGGCCTCTCTATTCTTCCTCCATACTCGGGGTCCTTGTGCCTCTCCATTCTTCCCTCCATACTCGGGGTCCTTGTGCCTCTCCATTCTTCCTCCATACTCGGGGTCCTTGGGCCTCTCCATTCTTCCTCCATACTCGGGGTCCTTGGGACTCTCCATTCTTCCTCCATACTCGGGGTCCTTGGGCCTCTCCATTCTTTCCTCCATACTCGAGGGTCCTTGGGCCTCTCCATTCTTCCTCCATACTCGGGGTCCTTGGGCCTCTCCATGCTTCCTCCATACTCTGGGTCCTTGGGCCTCTCCATGCTTCCTCCATACTCGGGGTCCTTGGGCCTCTCCATGCTTCCTCCATACTCGGGGTCCTTGGGCCTCTCCATGCTTCCTCCATACTCGGGGTCCTTGGGCCTCTCCATGCTTCCTCCATACTCGGGGTCCTTGGGCCTCTCCATGCTTCCTCCATAACTCGGGGTCCTTGGGCCTCTCCATGCTTCCTCCATAACTCGGGGTCCTTGGGCCTCTCCATGCTTCCTCCATAACTCGGGGTCCTTGGGCCTCTCCATGCTTCCTCCATAACTCGGGGTCCTTGGGCCTCTCCATGCTTCCTCCATAACTCGGGGTCCTTGGGCCTCTCCATGCTTCCTCCATAACTCGGGGTCCTTGGGCCTCTCCATGCTTCCTCCATAACTCGGGGTCCTTGGGCCTCTCCATGCTTCCTCCATAACTCGGGGTCCTTGGGCCTCTCCATGCTTCCTCCATAACTCGGGGTCCTTGGGCCTCTCCATGCTTCCTCCATAAACTCGGGGTCCTTGGGCCTCTCCATGCTTCCTCCATAACTCGGGGTCCTTGGGCCTCTCCATGCTTCCTCCATAACTCGGGGTCCTTGGGCATCTCCATGCTTCCTCCATAACTCGGGGTCCTTGGGCTCTCCATGCTTCCTCCATAACTCGGGGTCCTTGGGCCTCTCCATGCTTCCTCCATAACTCGGGGTCCTTGGGCCTCTCCATGCTTCTCCATAACTCGGGGTCCTTGGGCCTCTCCATGCTTCCTCCATAACTCGGGGTTCTTGGGCCTCTCCATGCTTCCTCCATAACTCGGGGTCCTTGGGCCTCTCCATGCTCCTCCATAACTCGGGGTCCTTGGGCCTCTCCATGCTTCCTCCATAACTCGGGGTCCTTGGGCCTCTCCATGCTTCCTCCATAACTCGGGGTCCTTGGGCCTCTCCATGCTTCCTCCATACTCGGGGTCCTTGGTTTCCAAATGAGATGCAAAAGTTGCTCTCATCAGAAAGAGGACTTTGGACCACTGAGCAACACACCAGGTCTGTTTTTTTCTTTAGCCCAGTAAGACGCTTCTGACGTTGTTTGTTGTTCAGGAGCGGCTTGACAAGATGAATACGACATTTGAAGCCCATGTCCAGGATCCGTCTGTGTGTGGTGGCTCTTGATGCACTGACTCCAGCCTCAGTCCACTCCTTGTGAAAGTCCCCAACACTTTTTAAATGCCCTTTTCCTGACAATCCTCTCCAGGCTGCGGTCATCCCTGCTGCTTGCGCACCTTTTTCTTCCACACTTTTCCCTTCCACATAACTTTCTATTAATGTGCTTTGATACAGCACTTTGGGAACATCCAACTTCTTTTGCAATTCCCTTTTGAGGTTTTCCCTCCTTATGGAGGGTGTCAGTGATGGTGTCAGGTCAGCAGTCTTTCCCATGATTGTGATTCCTACTGAACCAGACTGAGAGACCATTGAAAGGCTCAGGAACCCTTTGCAGGTGTTATGGCTGAATGATCTGATTAGAGTGGGACACTTTGAGCCGAGAATATTCCACCTTTTCACAATATTCTCATTTTCTGAGATTGTGGATTTGGGGTTTTCATGAGCTGTAAGCCATAATCATCACAATGATGACAAATCACGGCTTGAACTATCTTGCTTTGCATGGAATGAGTCTCATATATTAGTTTCACCTTTTAAGTTGCTGCACTGAAATAAATCAACTTTTGCACCATATTCTATTTTTCGAGTTTCACCTGTATAGTGGGGGTCAGGCTTGCGCTCTTGAGGGGGGGGTGCTGGCACTTTCGCAGCATGTGTGGAAGCAATCTGGCAGCAGCGAAGCCACCCAAATGCTTCCACCTGTCACGTCCTGCTGCTTGCCCGCATCAGGGCCAAATGAGCAAAAATACCAGAACATGTCCCAGGCGTTGGACGATGCCACATCCCTGAGCAATGCTGGAGGCAGGTTACACGCTAATGGCGGGAGCATCGTTTTTAATATGGAATGTATGTTCCTTGCTAAAAAAAGATTACCAGGAGCAGCCTGATAAAAAAAATAAAAAAATAAATAAAGTTCCGCTTAAAAAGTAACAATCAGATCTTCATACAGATGTTCTAAAACCATTTTTAGACTGGTGGAGACTTCTTCCACTTCAATGAGTTGTGTATATAATAATAATTGCAGGTGAAGCCAATCAGTCTTCTGGTTTTGGCGAGAGATGAAAGCGGCTCCGTTTTTATGATGCAGCGCTTATGTCGTAAATGGCACTTTATGAAGTGTAACTACACCCGTGTGACACGCCAAACAACCCGCCTACCTACTAATTATTGACTTTGATCTACAAAATGTGTCATAAAATAACCTCCTAAGCATGTACAACTAACTGCTGGAATGTATGAGCCGTGTGTAGTCTCTCCGTAATCTCCTCCATCCACACGGAACAGTCGTTTATCACTCGTGGGTGGGGGGGAGGGGCGGAGCGGGCGCTCACCATGCACACATTTTGGGTTTTTTTTTTTTTTTTTTTTAATTTTAGGAATTTTATTGTCACACATTTTTGTTAGTAGTAGTGTTGCGTGCTTAATTTCAAATATTTACATTTTGGATGGAATGAGGAAGGATTGGAACCCCTGTCAGGTTTTTCATTGCTATCCGGAGCTCTGTTAGATCTTTCCTCACTTCCTGTCCAGCTGAAAATGTTCGTTTTTTTTTGGGGGGAGGATTCTCCCTAATGCAGGCCGTAGACTTCGTTTATCACCTGATTTTTTTTTTTTTTTTTTTTTTTTTTTTTTTTCTTCAACCGAAAGAATAATCAGCTGATTTTCGCACTGTTTGTGGGGCAATGGCATCGCTCCAATTTTTCGCGGTTCCTCCTCATTTCGTTTATCGGTCATGCTGGGAAATTTGTGAAAAATGTCCGATTTTCGAAATAATTGGTGGCAACATCGGTTTACAGAACGAACAATCTTTCGTTTTTTGGACGAAAAATTGTCCGATAAATGAACCGTCTATGGCCTGCATAACGGAGCCCTCCCGCTCTGTAAGGGTCGGTTCATGCCATAGAAACGCAGTCCAGATTCATTCCGGATGCGTTTTGGCATGCGCATTTTTGACGTGTACCAGTGCTTTTTTTTTTTTTTTTTTTTTTTTTTTTTTTTTTTTTTTTTTTTTTTTTGTAATGTATTCCAGTTCATTTTTCCCCTCCTTTTTCTTCAATTTAACCGCTTCCATACCGGGCAATTTTACACCTTCCTGCCCAGGCCAGTTTTCAGCGCTCTCACACTTTGAATGACAATTGCGCGGTCATACAACATTGTACCCAAACTAAAATTTTATCATTTTCTTCACACAACTAGAGCTTTCTGTTGGTGGTATTAATCACTGCTGGAGTTTTTATTTTTTGCTAAATTAACAAAAAAAGACCAAAAATTTAGAAAAAAAACACTTTTTTTTTTTTTGTTTCTGTTCTAAAAGTTTGCAAATAAATAAATAATTGTTGTTCATAAATTTAGGCCGAGATGTATTCTGCTACATGTCTTTGGTGAAAATAACCCAAATTAGGATGTATTATTTAGTTTGTAGGAAAGTTATATAGAGTTCACAAACTATGGTATAGATCTGAATATTGATCAATCCTGAAGTACTGACAGCCAATCTAATTTCTTGAGGTCCAAGAATGTCAGGACAGTACAGATATCCCCCAAATGTCAGAACGGTACAGATATCCCCCAAATGTCAGGACGGTACAGATATCCCCCAGATGTCAGGACGGTACAGATATCCCCCAGATGTCAGGACGGTACAGATACCCCCCCCCCCCCCAAATGACCCCTTTTTGCAGAGTAGACAGTCCGACGTACTTCATAAGAAGCACGGTGAGTTTTTTTGAAGTTGTATTTTTTTTTTTTTGTAGTCATTTTTCGGAAAATGAAAAAATGAGTTTCACAATTTTTTTTTTTTTTTACATACCGTCACCAGTGCAGTACAGTATCATTATATAACTGGCATGGCGGTGATCAGGGACACTGACTGGTGACAGTATGAAAAAAAAAAAAAAAAACATTTTTTTTTTTTTTTAAGATTTTTTTTTTTTTTTCATATTTCACTATGTCCAAAGTAGTAGAATGTTACCATAGTAACATTGTACTACTTTGGGGAAGTGAACCCGATAGGAAGACCAGGTGAAGATGGCAGCACCGGGGAGCCGTGACAGCGCTGGAGGGCTTCATGTAAAGGGAAGTCTGTCATGTGTACTAGAATACTAGCTCTGCATACTTGTACATTATGACCTAAACCTGCAGGGGCCCATTGTGGTGTGTGGGTTTTTTTTTTTTGGTTTACTACGGCTTTAACTTTTCATGATTTAATTGCTGTGACCCGGTCTCCTTCACTGCTGGCTTTCTACCTGTAGGAGGCCAGGTCTTCCTGTACATATTTGGGATGATAAATAATTAATTCAGTGATGACTGCATCAAAGGCAAGGATTCCAGGTATGGAGATTGTATACATAGTTATGCGGTCCAAGCTGGACCAATATCACTGTATAGGCCATACATGGCCAGCGAAGCCTCCTCCCTGGAAGTTGGAAGTCCCTGAGGAAGACACCACTGCTCTGGTGACCTCCCTTTGCTTCCAGGTCCCGTGCTGTGCAGTTGCATTGCTGCATCATGAGCACAGCTTGGCTGCTCAGCATGGGCACCATATTGGCAAATGCTTTACATTTACTGAATCCATGCAAAGCCTTCTCTTGGAGAACGGGGGAACGTGATCTCACACTCTCCACCTCCACTGTCAGCTAACAGATATGATGGCCGCTCATCAATGATCCCTCCGCCCAGCCCCTGGGCATAACTGCACTGTACTAGGAAAAGCAATAACTTCGTGGGGATGTTCTGGTAGAATCCTGCTGCCTTACTAGGACTTCAAATGGTTCATGTAGGCCAAGCTGGCCCAAACACACTAGACTTGTGTTAAACCGATAGTAGCAGCCTCCGTTTTCTGTCTAGGCCGTGCCTCCAACTTGTTTCATCCTGTCTCAGGGCTTAATCATGGATCCATAATTAAAGTGGTTTTAAAGCCTTAGGAGTTTTTTGTTTTACTTTTTTTTTTTTTTTTTTTAAGCGGAGTTCCACCAAAAAGGGGAAGTTCTGCTATAAAGATTGGTCCCCAGCTCCCCGTTTTAAGGATTGGCACTTTTTGGGGAGGGGGGCGCAAGGTACCCGAAAATGACAGGTACTTCTGTCAATTTATGCTGCAGTCGCCTAGGCCAGGGGTGGGCAACTGTGGCCCTCCAGCTGTTGGTGAACTACAAGTCCCATCATGCCTCTGCTTTTGGGAGTCATGCTTGTAACTTGTCAGTTTTGTAATGCCTCATGGGACTTGTAGTTCTACAACAGCTGGAGGGCCACAGTTGCCTACCCCTGTCCTAGGTGATGGGAATCGGAAGTTGTCCTCCCTCCCTGTAGTCTTTTGGGACACATGACAGGTCCCAGATGACTACAGGGCCATTCATGAAGCGCAGCGCTACTCTCGCATGCGCAGTGGGTACCCAGCTGTGAAGCCGCAAGCTGTTCCAGCCGGGTGCCCACACTGAAGATGCCGGCGCCGGGAACACAGGACAGCCGGTGAAATGGGCTGCGGTGAGGACACAGTGGGACCGAGGGACAGGTAAGTGGCTGTTTTTTGTTTTTTTTTTTAAAGTCCGCAGCTAGATTTTTTTTTAGCTGCTGACTTTTTTTTTTTTTTTACAGTGTGAGTGGAACTCCGCTTTTAATTCATTCTATGCATTAAGGTAAAAAAAAAACCCCTCTTTGTGCATTGTGTTCCCCTTTTATACCTACCTGATCCAGCGATGCGCATGAGAGCAGCGGCTCTCCCAGCTCTGTCCTGCCTCACTGCACAGATGAATTGAATTCTGTGACGAGGGGGTGGGGCCGAGCCACCCTGTCTGTCAATGGATGCAGACAAGGCAGCTTGGGAGCGAGCCCTCGCAGGCGCCTTCTGTGGGGGGCACCCCTTTATACTTGCCTGATCCCAATCCAGCGATGTGCATGAGAGCAGCGGCTCTCCCGGCTCTGTCCTGCATCTCTGCACAGATTGTCAAAGAAATTCTGTGACGAGGATGCTGTGCCAAGCCACCCTGTCTGTGTCAATGGATGCAGACAAGATGGCTTGGGAGCGAGCCGTCACAAGTGCCTCCTGTCGGGGGCACCCCTTTATACTTACCTGATCCCGATCCAGTGATGCGCATGAGAGTAGCAGCTCTCCTGGTTCTGTCCTGCCTCACTACACAGATTGTCGATGTAATTCTGTGACGGGGAAGCCGGGCCAAGCCACCCTGTCTGTGTCAGTGGATGCAGACAAGACAGCTTGGAAGCGAGCCCTCGCAAGTGCCTCCTGTGGGGGCACCCGCGAAAGAGGAGGAGCCAGGAGCACCGAGGAGGGACCCAAGAAGAAGAGGATCGGGGCTGCTCTGCAAAACCATTGCACAAAGCAGGTAAGTATAACATGTTTGTTATTTTAAAGGAGAAAAGGTGAACCTTTGATGTTACTTGAAGCTCTGGGGGCAGGGTGAAACATGTTAGGGTGTGGCCAAGCAGAGCAAGCTGAGGCTGCTATTATCTCTTTTTATCATATGGCTTGGTATGATGAGTGGCTACTGGAATGTCTTTTATCCCTCTACATAGAGATGCACCGATATATCGGCAGCCAAAACATATCAGCCAAAAATAGTATTATCGACATTTTGCCGATCACAAAAAAGGTGCCGGTACATGCAAAGTCGGGTCTCATAGACCTTCATGCAAAAAGGCCTCTTAGTGACTTTAATGCAAAATTGAGTCTCATAGACTTTCATGCAAAGTCGAGTCCCTATTGACTTCAACACAAAAACGACCCCTAGTGACTTTGATGAAAAATTGCCAGCCACATTAACCATTATCTGGTGAGTGCGGGATGTGATCTGAGCACAAACGGGTGTGAACACTGGTCAGGGGTCTCGAAAAAGGACTTTCAATTTCACTCTGCTCACCGTATTCATCTCAGAAATAATTTTTTTGGAGTGGGACTATCCAATTAATAATAAATATATATATTCCAAAAAAAATCATACAAAATATATATATATATATATATAACACACACACACACACACACACACACACACACACACACACATATATGTGTGTATATGTATGTATGTATATATATGTATGTGTATATATATATTTTGTATGATTTTTTTTTTTCCTAATTTTATCATTTTATTCTTTTGAGTATTTATTTGCACTGTTTTTACGTTTTTTGTTATATTATTAGTGTTTGACACTAAGGAGAGCAACAACATTTATTTGGGAATTATTTCATAATTATTGACGCTGGGGATATTTTGTGTATATTATTATACAGTATTTATATAGCGCCAAAGGGTATGCTCAGTGCTGTACAGTAGCAAGGGGGACATAACATGAGACAAGACCGTAACAATACAATACACGAGGGGTTCGAGGGCCCTGCTCTTTCGAGCTTACAATCTAGGAGGGAGGGGATGTGGCACAGGAGGAGATGGCTGTGGGGGATGGAGTGGTGGGAGGAGTGCATGAGGTTAGTTGTTAGGTGAGGTCGGGTGTTAGGTGAGGTTGGGGTAGGCTTCCCTGAAGAGGAGGGTTTTCAGGGTGCGCCTAAAGGTGAGGAGGGTAGGTGACAGTCTGATGGATTGGGGAAGGGAGTTCCAGAGGATGGGGGAAATCCTGGAGAAGTCCTGCAATCGGGCGTGGGAGGACTTAAAGCGGAGTTCCACCCAAAAGGGGAAGTTCCACTTTAAGGGCTGCTCTCCATTAAGGATTGGCACCTTTGGGGAGCGGGTACCTGAATTTGACAGGTACCCCCTTCCACTTCTGGCCTGATTGCCTAGGCGATCGGAAGCGGAAGATGTCCTCCCTCTCTTCTTGTAGTCTTTTGGAACACGTGACGGGTCCCAGAAGACTACAGGACCATTCATGAAGTGCAGCGCTACTCGCACATGCTCAGTGGATACCCGGCTGTGAAGCCGCAAGCAGTCACAGCTGGGTGCCCACACTGAAGATGCCGGCCTCCTGGAATACAGGACGGCTTGTGAAATAGGCTGCGGGGGACACGCCACGGGACTGAGGGACAGGTAAGTGGCTGTTTTTTAAAAGTCAGCAGTTACAGTTTTTTTTTTTTTTTTTTGATAGGTGAGTGGAACTCAGCTTTAATTAACCGCTTCCTGACCGCCCCATAGCAGAAGTGCGGCAGGGATGCGCAGAATCTTATATACCTGACCTGTGCCGCTATTGGCTCCTCGGCATGTTAATCACCGGGTCCCGTCCACTGATTCTCGGCCAGGACTCGGTGATCGGCGGCGGAGCTGACAGGGGAGAGGTCTGTATGTAAACAACACCGATCTCTCCCCTGTCAGCACAAACAAGCTGCTTTGTATTTCTCTGCAGAGCGAAAACTCTGCAGTATGGCAGTCGGATAAGAGGAAGGGTTTGATTGTTGGTGGCAAGAAAGAGGGTCCTTTTTGAGATGAGTGAGCCCAGCATGACCCGGGGGGGGGGGGTTCAGTCTTGAGTTTGGATGTTATGGATGGACGGCACGTGGAATCGTTGGGATAATCATGTCTTGTGTTGGACAGGTTTCATACTGCAGTGCGGAATGTCTCAAGGCAGCCAGAGATCAGTATCACCAGGTCCTGTGTCTGCGATCCTCCAGGGACAACCCAGCTCACCCACTCAACAAGCTGGAGGAAGCCTGGAGGTCAGTGAATAGAAGACATGGAACCGGCTGCCTGTGCTGGGATCTGTCCCTCAGCGGCTGATGGGAGGAAAATGTGAAGTTTTAGGAAAGGTTTTGTATATATATAAAACTCCACTAAAAAAAAAAATATATATTAATAATAAAAAAAATTTTTTATATATATATATATTTTTTTTTTTTTTTCTTTTTTAGTGGAGTTTTGTGTATATGCAGAGCCATTCATTTTTATTATATATATATATATATATATATATATATATTATATATATATATATATATATATATATATATATATATATATATAGGAAAGGCTCTGTATATATACACAAAACTCCACTATAAAAAAAAAAAAAAAAAATTTTTTTTTTATATATAAAAAAAAATATATAATAATTTTTTTATTATTGCTGAGGAGTTTTGTATATAGAGAGCCCTTCCTGTTTGTTGTTTGTATGTTATATATATATATATATATATATATATATATATATATATATATATATATATATATATATATATATATCTCCGTTGCAGTGAGGCTACCCTGTACTGCAGGGGGTAAATGCTTGTTATTTCTACAGTATTGGTAAAAGCTCTTTTCCTTACCTGATCCTTTCTCCTGTATGCTCCGTTCCAGCTGTAAGATCGGTGTATGCAGTTTCTTCTCCTTTAACCCGGGTTTACAGTGCGTTATATCGCATGTGATGTGCGCAGGGGCCGCACCGCATTCCTGTGCAAATCACATGCGATTTGTGTGCGGTGTGATTGGAGCCATTTTGTACGGCTCAAATCGCACCACACCCGAAAGGTGCAGGACTCCTTTTTTTTTTTTTTTTTTTTTTTTTTGGGTCCACACTAGAATCGGATCGCATGGGTATTCACACCTATGCGATCTGATTCTGCACATCGCACCGCATTTTGCGGACCGATTTTCGGGTGTTATTAACAACATACACACCCGCGGCGGTTCTCATGAACGGGGTGCGATTGCGGTGCGGAATTCTCACAGAAAACACTGCAAATTCTGCACCGCATCGGTGTGAACCCGGCTTACATTCCAGCGGCTGCAATGCCCTCTGTTGTTACCAAATACAATACAGGCCCCATAGCCCTGCATTGAACTTGTTGCCTAGAAGACAGTCAACAATTGGGAGCATAGGGGAGCACTGACTCCTGGGGGAGTGGGGTTCGGGCACGTAAAGCTGCTTTTTCTGGTACCCTAGATGTTGTTACTATTATACAGGATTTATGGCGCCAACAGTTTGCTCAGCGCTTTACAAATATAACGGGAGACAATACAGCAACAATACAGTTCAATACAAGAGGGATAGGAGGGCCCTGATCCTGGGAGCTTACAATCTAAGCGATGTGATATTTCTTCTCTCAATGCTCTGTTGGCTGCCATGACCCAGGCTTCTGCCTTCTCACATGTTCTCTATCTCTTCCCCAGAAACATGCATTACCCTCCAGAGACCGCCAGCAGCATCATGCTGATGGCCAGGATGGTGGCCACTGTTAAGCAGGTAAGCCCAGCTGTGGGAGATGCAGATATATGGTGGGAGCTCCAAGAGAACGACATAATCCAGACCCTTCCCAACCAGAAACTCGTGTTTGATATCGAACTGGGTCTTTTGTAGGAATGTTCGTTTTCCGCCATGAGAACCTGATGGAAAGTAGTTCTTAAAAATAAACCTTTTTATGTAGCAGAATTACAGTCCTCCCTGTAGAGTACAGCAACCGCTTTTCATTTAGAGGTTCTTTGAGCTATTGTTGATTGACCTCCCATGTATTGGTGCCTGCATTGTACGGGGCCCAGTGACACCTGGCAGAGAGAGTGCCATGACACCAGTCATCTTCTTGCTGTCTGTAAGGTGTGCTCTCCAAGCACCTCTGTAATGGGAGTATTAATTCTTACTGACCCCCAATGTAAGGGACATTCTTCCCACTGACCACCAATGTAAGGGACATTCTTCCCACTGACCACCAATGTAAGGGACATTCTTCCCACTGACCACCAATGTAAGGGAATTCTTCCCACTGACCACCAATGTAAGGAGTATTCTTCCCACTGCCCCCCACCAATGTAAGGGACATTCTTCCCCACTGCCACCCAATGTAAGGGACATTCTTCCCACTGCCCCAAATGTAAGGGACATTCTTCCCACTGCCCCCCAATGTAAGGGACATTCTTCCCACTGCCCACCAATGTAAGGGACATTCTTCCCACTGCCCCCCAATGTAAGGGACATTCTTCCCACTGCCCCCCAATGTAAGGGACATTCTTTCCACTGCCCCCCAATGTAAGGGACATTCTTCCCACTGCCCCAATGTAAGGGACATTCTTCCCACTGCCCCCCAATGTAAGGGACATTCTTCCCACTGCCCCCCAATGTAAGGGACATTCTTCCCACTGCCCCCCAATGTAAGGGACATTCTTCCCACTGCCCCCAATGTAAGGGACATTCTTCCCACTGCCCCCCAATGTAAGGAGTATTCTTCCCACTGACCACCAATGTAAGGGACATTCTTCCTACTGATCACCAATGTAAGGGACATTCTTCCACTGATCACCAATGTAAGGGACATTCTCCCACTGACCCCCCAATGTAAAGGGACATTCTTCCCACTGACCACAATGTAAGGAGTATTCTTCCCACTGACCACCAATGTAAGGGACATTCTTCCACACTGATCACCAATGTAAGGAACATTCTTCCCACTGACCCCCAATGTAAGGGACATTCTTCCCCACTGAATGTAAGGAGTATTCTTCCCACTGACCACCAATGTAAGGGACATTCTTCCCACTGCCCCCCAATGTAAGGGACATTCTTCCCACTGCCCCCCCAATGTAAGGGACATTCTTCCCACGCCCCCCAATGTAAGGGACATTCTTCCCACTGCCCCCCAAATGTAAGGGACATTCTTCCCCACTGCCCCCCAATGTAAGGGACATTCTTCCCACTGCCCCCCAATGTAAGGGACTATCTATATCTATCTATCTATCTATCTATCTATTTCTCTATCTATCTTTTTTTTTTTTTTTTTTTTTAATCCCTGTAGTTTCAGTACTACTCATACTCTACTCTGAGGTGGAGGTCGTTCAGGGATTTATTTATCTTTTTTACACTGTGATTGCTTGTTACAGTGATTACTGTAACAGCAGTTGTTTTGAGCTGTCATGAATGGCTTTCATGCATGATTCATTGTTTACTATTCTGATTGGCCCACAGCTATCACATGGTACAGGGTGCTTTGAATATCCCAGGCACCATGTGATAGTTGAGGGGTAATCACAGTAGTAAGCAAGCTGTCACAAATGAAAGTGTTCATGGCAGTTTTGCTTACATGTTATCTTGTGATCGCTATGATTGGTCATCACATTCCTTGGCCACTCACAGCGGCTGGGTACTGAGCACTCTCATTCGCTGTGTCCACCAGACACAGCAAGGGAGGATGTCACCAGCACACCGAGGATCACCAATATGAGGCCAAACGTTTTAATGAACGATCACATAGTTACAGCAAGGCAACATTTCAGAGTCTCGCAGGACCCCTTCATCAGGCATGTGACCAAGAATGTGATGAAGGGGCCCTGAGACTCCGAAACGTTGCCTTGCTGTAACTATGTGATCGTTTATTAAAACGTTTGGCCCCCATATTGGAGATCCTTGGTGTGCTGGTGACATTATCCCTCGCTGATTCTGTTTGGTTTCATCCGATGATCGCTGCATCACCCACTTATAACACACCGCCATTTGTAACGCAGGAACGTGTGCGTTTGGATTGTACACTTGCGCACCAGACACAGCCGTCTCAGGATTGGGCCACTGCTTGCCCCAGGGGGCATGCCAGTACACATGAGCACTACAGTGTATGAGTACCACCAGAAGTTTTTTTTTTTTTTTTTTTTTTTTTTTTTTTCAGAAGAGACTGAATCCCTTTAACCACTTTACTACCGCGCTATAGCCAAATGATGGCTGCAGCACGATTTTCCAGTTCTGGGAGGGCGTCATACGATGTCTTCTCCAGAACGTGCCCAAAGCAGCGCACACCCGACCCTGTCTATGGTAGCTGTGTTCTTTTAGACACAGCTGACCACATGACCTGTTAAAAGGCCAATCACAGCAGTGTTTTGTCACGTGGTCAGTTGTGTCCAATCACAGCACAGTTTTGTTCACGTGGTCAGTTGTGTCCAATCACAGCAGTGTTTTGTCACGTGGTCAGTTGTGTCCAATCACAGCAGTGTTTTGTCACCTTGGTCAGTTGTGTCCAATCACAGCAGTGTTTTGTCACGTGGTCAGTTGTGTCCAATCACAGCAGTGTTTTGTCACGTGGTCAGTAGTGTCCAATTGCAGCCATTCACAGCAGTGTTTTGTCACGTGGTCAGTTGTGTCCAATCACAGCAGTGTTTTGTCACGTGGTCAGTAGTGTCCAATTGCAGCCATTCACAGCAGTGTTTTGTCACGTGGTCAGTTGTGTCCAATCACAGCAGTGTTTTGTCACGTTCAGTTGTGTCCAATCACAGCAGTGTTTTGTCACGTGGTCAGTTGTGTCCAATCACAGCAGTGTTTTGTCACGTGGTCAGTTGTGTCCAATCACAGCAGTGTTTTGTCACGTGGTCAGTAGTGTCCAATTGCAGCCATTCACAGCAGTGTTTTGTCACGTGGTCAGTTGTGTCCAATCACAGCAGTGTTTTGTCACGTGGTCAGTAGTGTCCCAATCGCAGCCAATCACAGCAGTGTTTTGTCACGTGGTCAGTTGTGTCCAATCACAGCAGTGTTTTGTCACGTGGTCAGTTGTGTCCAATCACAACAGTGTTTTGTCACGTGGTCAGTTTTGTCCAGTCACAACAGTGTTTTGTCACGTGGTCAGTCGTGTCCAATCACAGCTAACCACTATGTAAATATATTTGCTGATTATTGGCAGTACTTTCCTCACGTTGTCACAGCATCTGTACTGATCATCAGGGCAGCCCCAAAAGTGCCTGTCAGTGCTGCCTATCAGTACAGCCTCATCAACGCTCATCAGTGAAGGACAAAAAAATAACCTGTTTACAAAATGTTATAATAGAAATAAAGAATTTTTTTTTATTTTTTTATTTTAATTTTTAAAAAAAAATAAAATACCACCAAAATGAAAGGTCTATTTGTGTGAAAAAATGTTATATGTGTACAGTGTTGCATGAACCGTGCAATTCAATTTATGCAACAGCGCTGACAGCAAAGCTGAAAATTGGCCTGGGCAGGAAGGGGGTGAAAGCGCTCGGTAGGCGAGGGGTTAAAGAAAACTTCCTCAGAGAGATGGCGAAGCTGCTATCTCTACTTGGGAAACGTGAGTTTATCAGCTGCAGTGTACATGGGGCCCCTAACAATGTGTGGAACAATGTAACATGTTCCCAAAGGTGAAGGTATCCTTGAACTCCAACTGGAGAGCTGTGTTTGTACACGGGGCGCTCCATGGGCTTCAACACCGTGTGGGGAGCGTCCTTCCTTTTTTGTTTTCTATATTTCTACACCATGGAGAGAGTGGTTTTGGTAATGCTGACCTCTGCCCTTGTGACTTCTGGGAAATGTCAATTTGAATGATGGTTTTCTCTTCTGGTAACTGTACAGGCAAAGGACAATTTAGGGACTGGTGGCTCCAACTCTTCACCCAGTTTTGCAGCAAGACAGCCAACGAAGAGGAGGAGATCGTCCACAAGCTCCTGGGTGACAAGTTCAAA